AGTGCGTAATGCGCATGCGCAGTGAGTCAGGTGGTGCGCGGCGCACGCGCAGTGCGGAGTGAGGCGGTGCCCAGAGCGCAGGCGCAATGTGAGGGATTTAAAGCGCATACTGCGCATGCTCAGTGCGGGCTGCACGCGAAGGGCGGCGATGCAGTGCGCAGAGGCGATGCACGGAGCGCATGCGCAGTGTGGACGGAGGTGATACTGCGCAGGGAGGCGATGCACAGAGCGCATGCGCAGTGCGGAGGGTCAGGTTGCTTTGCTGTGTTGATGCATGGGATGCTGCTGCAGAGTGCATGGTGGATTGGTGCTCAGAGCACAGTGTAATGGTGCACGGAGCCCTGTGCACAGTGCATGGGGCTTTAGTGCACAGAGCATGGTGCGTTAGTGCAGAGAGTGTTGGTGCACAGAGCACTGAGCAGAGCACGGTGCTTTGGTGCACTACATGCATTGCACAGTGCATGGTGTGAGGTAAAGAGCACTGTGCATGGTGCACTGGCTCACAGCTGCTGTGCATGGCGCAGCATCAATGCAAAGAGCATGTGCACAGCGTGTGGTGCTTTGGTGCACTGAGTGCAGCACACAGTGCATTTGGTGTGCTGCACTCAGTGCATTTGGCACACTGTACAGTGCATGGGTGCACAGAGCTGGATGCATTGGTGCACAGTGCATTGGTGCACAGGGCACAGTGTATGGAGTATGGCTGCACAGCACACGGTGCACTGAGCACAGCATGTGCACGGGGCATGGTGCACACAGCACAGAGCACACTGCAGGGCACAGGGCATGGTACACAGGGCATTGGTGCACAGAGCACAGCCTGGCTCATTAAAGTAACATTATTTTTTTTTTCTATTGCGCATAATTTAATTGCCAGGACAAACAGTGAACACCACCAGAATTCCTCTTCGTCCACACAGGAGCAAAAAAGGAGAAAAATAGGCAAAAAGGAGCAGTGGCACCACAGTGACAGCCCACTGAACACCGAGCTGCCCGTACACAAATGGCTGATGGATAATGTTGGGGACTTTGAGCTGAAATTGCTTTTTGTCCCCAGTTTTGCAGCCTTGGATCCAAGCAACATCCACTCAGCAAACCCTTTCACGTGGCATTGTTCCCGTGGAGCCACGTGCATAAAGGGAAAGTTGGGGGAATAATCCATCACCCCCAGCGCTGAAAGGGAAATGCAGGTGTGCAGTTCATGCCTTCTGCAGGTCCTCAGGGCCGAAGGAGAGTGGCAGCAGCTCCTGTAGTGTCTTCACAATGTAGGTGCCATCAGGTTTGGTCAGGTAGAGGTCCCAGTCTGTGCCAAACTGCAGGAGGAGAGGGGGAGAGAGGCTCAATGGGGAATCCATGCTTCTTCCCCAGCTGGCTGCAGCACCCACAGCCACACCAGCAACTGCTGGGCTCCCTCAATTTGTTCAGCCCATAGCAGAGGAGGTGGAGGGGAGGCCCCGTGGTGGCCTGCAGCTCCTTGTGGCCCTACAGCTCCTCATGGCAGCTTGCAGTCACAGCATGGCAGGGACCCCACTCACCTCTCTCATCACCTGTCTGCAGGCTCCGCAAGGCGTGATGAAGTCCTCCATGTCGCTGCCAAAAAGAGAACCACACCAGGCTCAGTCCCACTCCACCCCCAAACCCAAAGGGAGTAAACACCTCGAAACCCAAAGAGATTCCCCTGAACCCAAAGGGATCGTCCCAAAATCAAAGGTGGAACCAATCCGGAAAAGAAGGGGATCACCCAAAACCCAATGAGATCACCCAAAACATAAACAGGGCACCTCTCCAAAGCCCAAAGGAATTGCCAAAAACCTAAAGGGAGTAACATACCAAAACCCAAAGGGATTTCCCAAAACCTAGGGGTATCACCCAAAACCCAAAGGGGACACCATCACAAAACCCAAAGGGACTGCCCCAAAATCAAATCACCCCAGAATTAAAGGGGTAACCATCCGAAAAAAAAAACAAAAGGATCACCCAAAACCTGAAGGGGGTACCTCCCCAAAGCCCAAAGGAATTCCCAAAAATCCAAAGGGAGTAATACTTAAAAATCCAAAGGGGCTCCCCAAAACCCAATGGGTCTGCTCAAAGCTCAAAGGGAGAACCACCCCATAAAACAAACCCATCAGCCAAAACCCAAAAAGAGGCACCACCCCAAAAGGAAACACCACACCAAAAACCCAAAGGAACTTCCCAAAACCCAAAGGAGGCGTCATCCTAAACCCCAAAGACTGACACGGTGCCATTGGGCCTCACCTGGCGATGGCCATGGCCCTGAATCTTGTGTGCCCCTCGGAGATGGCTTTCTGGATGGCGGTGCGCTCAGCACACACCCCGAGGCTGTAGCAGGCATTCTCCACGTTGCACCCTATGGGGAAGCACCAACACCACTCACCACCCCTCACTTGGTGAGACACCTTCAAACGAAGCCCATCCTGAGCTCTGGCCAATGCACGTCTCCTTTCCATGATTTATTTCCCATATTTTCCTACTCTTGGGCTCTTCTGGTGACTACGACTGGTAGGGAGCATAGGGAAGGGTTGTGGCACCCATCTGGAAGACCTCAAAACCTAAAGGGAACACCACTCCAAAAAGGAAAGAGATCACCCCAAAATCAGAGGGGGAAACACTTCAAAAATCAAAGAGATTTCTCCATAATCAAAGGTGGAACCACCCCAAAAGCAAAAAGGAACTACTCCAAAAAGGAAACGGATTGCCCAAAGAGCAAAGAGGGAAGCATGCCAAGAAGCAAAGGGATTGCCTAAAAGTCAAAGGGACACCGCCCCAAAAAGCAAAGGGAACACCCAAACAGTAAAGGGATCACCCAAAAAGAAAAGGGGGAACTACCTCAAAACCAAAGGAATCACCCAAAACCCAAAGGGAGCACCACCACAACACCCAAACAGATCAGCCTGAAATCAAAGGGGGGACCACCCCAAAAAGCAAAGAGAGAACCACCTCAAAACCTAAAGGTGCAACACTCCAAAAACTAAAAAGGATTGCCCAAAACCCAAAGGGAGAACCACTCAAAAACCCAAAGGCACTGCCCCAAAATCATAGGGGGAACCACCAAAACCCAAAGGGAGAACCACCCAAAAACCCAAAGGGTTTGCCCCAAAATTATAGGGGAAACACCTCAAAAACCAACCGGATTTCTCAAAACCCACAGGGGGAGCCACCCCAAAACCCAAAGGAGGCACTGCACCCAAAAAAAAAAGAAAACAACACCCACAAAGAGATTGCTAAAAACTCAAAGCAAATGCCACCCCAAACCCCAAGGGAATCGCTCCAAACCCAAAGGGACCAGCACCCTAAAACCTCCAGAGATCGCACAAAGTCTCCGCCACCCCACAGGGATCAAGGCAAACCCAAAACAGTCAGCACCCCAGAAACCCATAGCGGGCATCATCCCAGAACCCAAAGCAATCCCCCAGCACCCAAACGGGCCACCATCCCACAACCCCAAGGCGACGTCTCACCGGAGAAGATCTCCCCGCTGGCGGTGAGCAGCGCGGCGCCCACGGGGAAGCGGCTGTAGGGGCAGTAAGCACAATCTTTGGCCTCACGGCAGCGGCGAAGCAGCAGCTGTAGGCACTCACTGCCCTCCATGCCTGCACTGCCTGCCCCACACGGTGACGCCGACGTGGTTAAATATTTCCCCGAACGCAACGCCCTGTCGGGATAACGCCCCATGCGTGCGCCGGGCATCATCCCCAACCTCGAGGTTTTGGGATCAGGGTGGAGGTTGAGCTCTCTCTGAGCCTGCTTTCTTATTTTATATATATATCTTCTTCTTTTTTCTAGCCATTTTTCTACGTGCTTTGCTTTTCTTTTTGTGTGTGTGTGTGCTAAGCTTTCTCACACCGCCTTCTTTTCCTTCCTCCCCAGCAGGAATTTGGTGCTGGGAACGTCCTGGGGGGAGCCACGGAGAGGTCAAAGGGGAGAAAACCATTGGGTCGCAAACAAGAAATAGCACGTTTCCCCCTCACCCCCCCCCTAGTTTCTCATTGACAGCCAACACACAGCAGGGGAAGCGGATGGGAAGTCTCCCTGACGCTGCTTTCCCCTGCTGCTGCACAATCCTATTGCTGAGCGCAGATAAGGACTGTTCTGCACCATCCTAGGGGGTGGTCACGTCTCCCCTGTGTGGCTGAGCACCATTTCCCATCCCTGATATCCCCACACGTGGGGATAATAGGACGATCGCCTTCCTAGTTCCTTGTTCACTCTGAAACCTAATGATGGCGATGGGAAAAAAGCCATTTTATAGCCAAAATCGCCTGCACCACTGTGCTATTCGCAGAACTCAAAGGAGGCACCACCCCAAAAGGCAAAGGGATCACATGGAAAGCAAAGGGAGGACCACCTGAAAACCTAAAGGGTGCAACACAACAAAAAATAAAGGGATCGCCCAAACCACAAAGGGGGAACCACCCCAAAACCCAAAGGGGTCGCCCAAAACATTAAGGAGGCACCATCCCAAAAATCCAAGGAATCACCCAAAAACCAAAGGAAATACCACACCAGAACCTATAGGGGACAAGCACTTCAAAACCCAAAGGATTCACCCCCAAAATCAATGAGGGATCCACCCAAAAACCCAAAGGGATTGCCCCCAAATCAGAGGGAGCATCACCCTAAACTGCAATGGAATCATCCGAAGCCCAAAGAGAGTAACACCCCAAAACCCAAAGAGACCAACCAAAACCCAAAGGAGGCACCAACCCAAAAATAGATTGCACAAAAAGCAGAGGGAGAACGACCAAACACCCAAAGGGGTTGCCCAAAACCCAAATGGGGCACAACCCCAAAACCTAATGCAATAGCTCAAAACCCAAAGGGACTAATGCCCCAACAACAAAATGGATCACTCTGAACCCAAAAGGATTGCCCCAAACTCAGTGGATTCCACCCCAAAACCCCATAGCTTGAAACCTGGAGGGAGTAAAACCCCAAAAAACAAAGGGATCAAGTAACTCACAGGGGGCAACACCCCAAAACCCAAAGGAATTGCTCCAAGCCCAAAGGGAGTAACACCTCAACACCCAAAGGGACTGCCCAAAAGCCAAAGAGATCAAGCAAAACTCAAAGGGAGCAATACCCCAAAAAACAAAGGAATCGCCCCAAAATCAAAGGGAAACCATATGAAAAAAGAAACAGAAGGATCCCCCCAAACCCAAAAGGGGCAGCACCCCCAAACCCAAATGGATCTCCTCAAAATCATTATCAGCACGGAGCACGGCTGGGGCTGCTCTCTGGGCTCTGCACTCTGCAGGGGCTGCTCTTTCTCCCCGTAGCGGAGCAGCACATCTCCTGCCGGCAGCAGCAGCTCGGCAGCATCCCTCCGTGTGCGCCGATGCGTTCTCCCTCCTCTCCACGCTTTGGGCTGCGCGCGGCGGCTGCCTGCACGCCCGGGGAGGTGGAGCAGAGCTCCGTTCCGCAGCAGCAGCATCACTGCCTCCTCACCCAGAGCATCCCGCTGGGGACCGGCCCTTGGGAACGGGACACGGGGACAGACCCTCGGGTCCGGATCCGGATCCGGCAGCGAGGTGATGCTGCCCTGGCGCCGCAGCAAGTTCGTGCTGGTGGAAAACGAACGTAAGTGCAAAGGGAAAAGCTTGGGGCCAGGGTTGGGCTATGCCTCGTTGCTGGCCGGCTTCCTGCGCTCCTGCCCCGATTTGTTGCCCGAATGCCCCTTGGAGAGGTTGGGTTCTGTGTTTGGAGGCCGGCGGCAGAAAGTGGAGCTGAACAAGGAGGATCCCACCTACACCGTGCGCTACCTGGGTAATGCAGTCACGCTGCACGCCAAAGGAGAGGGATGCACCGAGGAGGCGGTGGGGAAAATATGGGCCAAAAGCGACGCGGGCGCTGGTGGGGCCAAGATGAAGCTGACCTTAGGGCCGCACGGCATCCGCATGGCACCGGGTGAGAAGGGTGCCAGGAGGTCGGGCCACGCATACCTGCTGCACCGCATCACCTATTGCACAGCCGACCGCCGGCACCCGAAGGTTTTTGCGTGGGTTTACCGGCACCAGGTGAAGAACAAAGCCGTGGTGCTGCGCTGTCACGCCGTCCTCGTCCCCAAAGCCGCCACGGCGCGCGCCATGGCCCTGCTCCTCTTCCAGACCTCCGCTTCAGCCTTTGATGAATTCAAGAGGCTCAAAAGGCAGAACGACGGCCGTCGCCTCCAGCAGCAGCTCCTGGGTGAAGCCATCGTCCCCTTGGTGCCCCTGCGCAGGCTGCTCAATGCCAAGTGTCCCTACCGCCCGCCGGCCGAGCGCGCCCGCTGCGCCCCACGGCTCAGCTCCATCCTGGAGGAGGACGAGGAGGAGACGGGGGGCACGTGGGGGGACGGGGGGCCCACCGTGGTCTCTTTGGCCAGTGAGATGCGGGGGTGCAGCTTGCGTGGCCCAAGGGCCCCCGTATGCTGAGCATCCCCATTGGCGTCCACTGCTTTGGCCACACCGGGTGCCCTCGGGACACAGCTGGACAATAGGGCTACGTCCCTAGCTCTGAAGGGGGGGACACCTGGATCCCCCCATCCCTCTCCTGGAAATAAACCCAATTTGTGTTTTCTGCCTGTGACAGCGCCTGTCTCTCACCAGCCTGGAAGACTCGCGATGGTTTGTTGCTTTTCTATTTTGTATTTACCCTTTTTTTTTTTTTTACTCTAAAAAATTTCCCCCCGGGGGGGGATGGAGGGGAGGGCGGGGGGGGTTCTGCACCTTCCATGCCATTCCACGTCAAGTGATGCTCATATTGCCATGGCAACGTGGCGGTTTAAATAGAGCAGGCCCACGCTTTGGGGGGGGGGGCTGCAGTGGGGACCCCAGGACTGAAAGCTGGGTCGCAAAGGCAGCCCAGAGAACCTAAATCCCTGGAATTTTACCCAAAATGGTTTATTTTCACTCAGTTCCTGCTCTCCCTGCCCTGACAGGAGCAGCAATGCGGGGGCACAGTGGAAGGAGCTGAATAAATGGGACGGTGGGAGAGGGAACAAGGGGCACCGCTGCCCCACAGCCTGAGGAAGGGGACGCATCACAGGGATGGGGTTTGGGTGAGCTCCCCCCACATGCAACAGCCAGGGAAAGGACAGGCTGTGGTCCTGATTCCCTCGGAACTTTGGGAGCTGGCATCTGGCTGCTCCCACAAAGGGCTCTACGGGTCTGGGGTTTGAGATACTGCCCCCCAGAAGCACTATGGGGCCGAGATTTGGGCTAACACCCCTAAAAATAAACCTTTGGAGCTTAGATAGAGCCTGCATCCTGCAGAATCCTAGGGTGAAAGACTGGGATTTGGGCTAAACATACCCTGAAAGCCCTGTAGGGCTGAGATACAGGCTAATCCCTTCCAAAAAGTGCCACAGGGCTGGAATTTAGCTTGTCCACTTCCAAAATCCTGGGGGTAGAGTATGGTATTTAGGCTAAACCCACCCCAAAGGCCCCATGGGCTGGAATATGGGGTATCCTGCCCTAAAATGCCGTGGTAAAAGGCTGGGATTTGAGTTAAACCCACCCCAAATATCCAGTGGGGCTGGGATTTGGGTTAATCTGACCCCAAAAAAGCCCTGTGAGACTGAGACTCGAACTATTTCCCCCAAATAAAGTGAAGTGGGGCTGGGATTTGGACTAACACCTCCACAAAGCATCACAGGGCCAGGATTTAGCCTCTCACCTTCCAAAATCTTGCTGGTTGAACGCCGGGATTTGGATTAAACCCACCCCAGAGACCTTGTAGGGTTCGGCCAAGCCTTTCCAAGGCCTTGCGGGGCTGCAGTGGGGCTCCATCAGCCCTCCACCCCGTCTGGAAACCCTCCATCCATTTCTCGGAGGACCGCGCACTCTATGGTAAAGGCGCGCTTTATGGTAGAGCGCCGCGCGCTGTACGCCATCAGTGACGTCATCAGTCCGCGCCGCGCGGTTGCCGCGGTAACGGCGGCGATGGAAGGCGGCGGGCGGCCCTCGGCCTTGCAGGCCGCGTTGCTGGCGGCTGGCACAGGGCTGACCGCGCTGTTCTACTCGGTGTACCGGCAGCAGGCCCGTCTCGCCCGTGGCCTGCAGGTGGGTACGGGAGCTCCGGAGCTGGGTTGCGGCTTGCAGCCTGCTGCGGTGGCCGCTTCGGGCCTAGGCCGCGGCCTGCTCCCGGGTCCGGGCCTTGCGGTTGATCCTTCCGTCCCATAGGGCGCCCGGAGGCTGCGGCTGGACGGGGAGCTGCGGGCCGTGCTGCTGGAGGCGCCGGGCCGCTGCGTGCCCTATGCTGTCATCGAAGGTATTGGCGTGGCAAAATGCTGGGCCTCTTTCCCCACCGCCTCTTTGGTTCAAGCGTTTTTGCCCAAAATCTGACGTTTTGCGCCAAAAAAAAGCTTCCCGCATGCAAGTCGTGGCAGTAACAGTAATGGGGGGCACGGAGGAAGGAGCTGAGGAACTGGGGCTGTGCTGCGTTGGGGCATCACTGCCCTGCAGCAGTGGGGAGGGGGATCCGGGCTCCTCCTTCACAGCCCCACAGAGATGGGGTTGGGGTGAAATGCCCCCAAAAATGGTACCCAGGGAGGGGACAGATGTGGTCTGATTCCTTCTAAATTTCAGAGGGGCAAATGCCAGCCCTAACAGAGGGCTCTGTGGCTCTGACTTAGGCTAGGGCTAATTCCTTCCATATGCACTGCTGGGGTTTGGGCTAGCACCCCTAAAAACAAATCTATGGAGCTTAGATATAGCCTGCTTCCTGCAAAACCATGGGGTGAAAGACTGGGATTTGGGTTAAACGCACCCCAAAGGCCCTGCATGGCTGGGGTTGGGGCTAATCCCTCCCTAAAGATGCCACGGGGCTTGGATTTAGCCTGTTCCCTTCCAAAATTCTTGGGGATGGGATTATGGAGTTTAGGTTAAACCCACCCCAAAGGCCCTGTGGGGTTGGGATTTGGGTTAATCTGGCCCTGCAAAAGCCCAACAAGGCTGTGATTTGAGCTACTTCCCCACCAAAAAAAGTGAGGGTGGTATTTGGGCTATTTCTCCCCCTAAAAAAGTACAGTGGGGCTGAGATTTGAGATAAGGCCTCCACCAACTCCACAAGACACATTTGGGCTAGGATTTAGCCTGTGTCCTTCCAAAACCTTGAGAGTG